GGCCGGACCCGGCGCCAGCCCGCGCCACACCTGGCCGGACCCGGCGCCAGCCCGCGCCACCCTTGCACACCAGGGCTACCGGCATTTTGCCAGGGGGCCTCTCCACGTGCAGGGGAAAGGGAACCCGTCAGTCTGCGGAATCGGATTTGATCCAAACCAAAACCCTTGCCAGTCTCAGCCACTCTGGTCCATCCAGCTCATCCCCCGGAGCCCGGGCCAGGTGCCACTTCAGTTCTCCTTTCCCAGCTGCCTGCACGTGCCGGAGGCAGACTGCAGAGTAACTCGCAATTCCAGGTGCAGTGTGAGGCACTAACGGGCTCTGAGTCTCATTAAGCACTAACCGCCCAAACCAGAAACCCCACTAGTCATGCTTAGCATCTTGGCCTCCCCCCTCAGGCTGGCTACGGGCAGACGCCAGGGAAGGTATAGGCCCGCAGGCCTCGGAGACAGACGTGAGACTGCCTGGTGAGGGGCCCAGTGCGGGAGCCCACTGGACTTACCCATTTTGGGAGTGGGAGCCGAGCCCTACGGCCCTGGCTCAACCGTTTCCTGGCTCCTGGCCTACATTGATCCAAACCTGAGCAAAGGCTCCACAGTAGCGCAAGGAAGGGCCAGACACAGCTCTGACTCGGACACCTGCCCTGTGCTTCTCTAAGCAGGGCTCACTCCCCAGGAGAAGGGGGGAGCAGTCTCCCCACGCCGGCTCAGGGCCCCTCTGCTCTGAAGAGGCAGTGAACAGGCATACGCACATGTCCGAATCACCGGAGCTGGAGTCCTCTCCGTGCCCTTCAGACTTCCAGCGCTTGAATCGGTCGATCAGCTCCATGAGAAATGAGGTTTTCTTGGTGTAGCGGGTGATGAACTTGTGCTTTAGCAATTCCTTAGCAGTTGGCCTCTGGCAAATCAGGAGGGAGAGTGAGCTGAGCACAGCAGAGGCCAAGGTCTGCAGGAGCCAGATCTACCAGCCACGTGCTGCCAGTCCTGCTGCAGCGGCTGCTAACCCCCAGGCGCGGAGCCCCAACCGGCCTTTCCGCTGTGGCGGGGGGC